AGTGATCCCAATGTATCTGCATTTAGTTTGAAATCTTGCTATCTGATCGATATGAAATGATGGATGCACAATTAAGTAGTTATGTTGTTTGAACAAATAAATCAGGAGCGAATTTACTGCCATCCCAGTTACTCTGGAAACAGTCTTCTTACGATTTAAAGCTAGATTGCAGTTTTTGAGAATTAACCTGTATATACTGTTCATACAATGAATTTTTATCTTTGTATTGTAAATTATTTGATAGAACACATGATGGGAAATGTGGCTTCACTTCATTTTGTTAATTAAAGCTACCTCCTAAACAATAGTGGCTGCCAGTAGCAGAATGTTTAAAATGTGGTTTATATACTTTTTGCATTGTAAATAGACGTGGTTGTATATTGTCACTGTAATAAAAACAGAATCCTTGTATATCAAAATCATGTAGTTTGTACAAAATATGGGAGGATTATTTACTGTATGCTGTTAATTTTGTAAGCCAAAATATTCACGTGTAAAAACAGGAGAAAACCAATCCAGAACTGTTAGTTCTTATATTTATACTCATGAATATTACATCTGCAATTAGCATGGAATGTTACACTGAAAGCAAATAAAGGGTACATGAACATTGATGGTTATTTATCTGTTTTTCCAAAGCTGAAAATGGTGCACAGGCACAAAACTGCAGACAGCAACCAGCAGAATTAATGTGGTTTGGGGCAGGAAAAGGCAGCAAAATAAGAAAGTTGCCAGTTTACTGTGGATTCAGTGGATTCACCGCTTCTGATTAATGCAGCCTCTTGGTCTGCAGAAGGTTAAAACTTTGAGAGAAGTCCTTACATTTTTGCAAAGCAGTCTCTTTAGAATAGACATTATGTATTGCGTTCAAGCTTTTAATACGGCTTGGAAGATGGTACAGATGCTGACTGTTTTTGTGGCATTTCCATTGTTTGAAACCATGATTTTGGAAGAGGTGGTTTATTACCCGGTCCCTCCGTTGGTCGGCTACTCGCAGGTGACAATAATATTTTGGAAAACAAAAACAAATTTCAGATGCCATTTTATAACCAGTAGGAAGGAAATCTGGCTATCGAGCTCCAAAAAGCCAGCTGAATTTTCCACAGTGCTCTTGAGTAAGGATGTGCGTTGTCTTCTGTTTTACAAAATGAGCCTTCGCTGAGATGCTTTTGAAATGGTCCAATGTTCTTCATTTGGAGTTGCAGTATTTCATGATGCAGCACTAATGTTGGTTGAGTTGTGCTGTTATCTTTTAACGCAGTCAGTCCAGCGTCTTGCAACATGCTCAGGTTTTAACAGCTGGTAGAGGAGAAGGAATGCAGGCCGTAGCTACTCAAATCAATTCATTGAGAAGCAGTGCTGCAGAACTTGCCTGTCTGGGTCGCCAAATGCCCAGCACCTGTGGACAATCAGTTGGGGAGAATGCAGAGAAATCCAGCCACCAGGTACTTAATCCCTCCTTTGTCACACATCCTTGTTGGAATTCACAGAAACCCTAAGCATCTGTTGTACTGGACTCCAGCACCAGGTGTAGCAGGGCAAAAAGAATTTGCTGTTGACTTTAAACAAATGAAAGCTTTTCAGTAAAGAAAGGATTCGCTTTTTCTTCCTTTTCCTGATGTCCTGAGCAAGGAGCTTTCTGCAGTGGTGCAGAGGGAAAAGCCAAATATTCCACGCCTTCTCCCTGTTAAGTAGTTTATGGACAGCTGACAACTTGCTCTAAGAAAGTATTCAGGTGAGATCCCTTTATCTGAAATTACGTAAATAATTTATTCACTTGACAACTGCTGGGTTTAATTCCCTTCTGACCTCTTCCATCAAGGTAGAAATTCCTGAGTTTAATCACAAATTTACTCAGAAATCTCAGAGTTGTACCAGGACACTTTAAACTTTGATTGTAATTTTTAAGCCTTTGGTATTAATTTACAGGATAATGTTTTTAATTAAAAGCACAATGTACAGTTTATTTCATACATACTCTCAATTTAATAACTTCTAATTACATAGATGCTTTTGATCTCTTATTGCTAGTAGAATAAGTTTATTTTTAGCTGGAGATTTTTAATATTACCTTTCATATACTCTGCAGTAGAATCTGAGCTATTTACTCTCAAGCTAGTAATTGAATATGATTCAGAAAGTAAGGGAACTAATGAAAGGTGGAATGGGATAATACATGATAAATGACTGTGTTTTATCTACTGCTTGTTGTGCAGGGAGGATGAACGGGCACGTTCCATATTGTTACAGTAGTGGCACTGCAGTAGGAAAAAAAAATCTTTATTTAGGTTTTATTTGAGAGTACTAGTTAATGGTGAATGTGGCTGTATTTACTATGAGGAAATTGTTCAGATTTGAGGGTAACAACTTACGAGTTTTACCATTGGTTTCCAGTAACAAAAGGATGCATAGCTCACTAGTGTCTTCTGCCAATGTGAGTCCCAGAGTAAGCGAATAAATCTGCTAAAAACTGAAGTTTTAAATGAGGGCTGAGGTAAAGATTTTGCATAAGTAGCTCAAAAAATGAAGGCTGTTCAACAGTAGTAGTGCTATGATCTCCAACCAGTACAAAAACAGATGCATTTTGATTACATAGAAGCTGAAATCCAGCCAACTGAGTGGAGCAGGAATCATGCTATTGCATTGTAAAGCTGGGTTTTCACTGTAGATTTGTTTCATAGGATTCTTGCACATTCCCTTGAAGAGAGAAGCTCATTCTCAAGGCTGCGGTCCTTGAAAAAGAGATGGCTCTGTATTTGCAATGAACAGAAAGCCTGAACTGGGACCAGTAGTGGGAATGGCATTCTGCAAAGGTGAGAATGGGCTGGAAAATGAAGGAAAACTGGAGCAATCCGAGACCACTTGAATTAAGCAGAACTACAGATACAGGCATAAAAATACTGGTGCACAGGCAGAGAGCGCTTGGTCAGCTCTGACTGTAAGTGTGGAGCTAAGTAGCTTTGTGAGGCACCACTTTTCTCCACGTCACAAAGTGCAAAGGCTCAGACTTCTTAACCTGAACTACGTTTATTCCGATTATTTTGTGTCTTTTCAGTTGGCAAGTAAAATGTAGACATACATTCTTCGTGGGCGTCTGGTTGGTTGGTGTCAGCTAACTAAAGGTATGTAGCCTATGCCTTAGTTTGTTCCTTCATTTAGTTCACTTATTTTTTAGCTGGATTGTTTTATCTTCTTTCTGTGTTCCTGAATGCACATGTGGAACTAGACGTGACTTCTGAGAGCAATCTCGTTTGATTCTTCTTGTTAAATCTGATTAGTGTTAATTAAATTCAACCGAAAGGTTCCTTACGTTCTCTGAGGCTGAGCTGATCAGATTACAGTTAAATTTCAAAAAATGTTTCAGAGGAGTTGTTGGCAAATTTCACATTTCATAGAGTTTTCAAATTGCGGTAGCTAATAATTCATAGTAGCTTATTTAGGTCTAGAATTGGCTTCATTTCTGTTTACAGAGATTTACAGGTGTTTCGTCACCTGTAAAATTAGCTTCTCTGCACCATTTTCTATGGAAAATGGTTTTTCAAGTAGTGCGGATGACAGTTAGGAATTACATAAGCACATTGTTAGGATCATTTGGAAGTTCAGGCGTGTCATGGAACAGAACCAACTTGTAGGTCCATGAGTATGGGTTTACTCTGAATTTATCTCCCTCTTGCTATATAGCTTAAAGCACGCAGTCTGTGATGGTGTAAATTTGGTTAGCTCTGAAAGACTGAGCTTAGGTTTGTGTTGCTTCTGAGGTGAGCACTTTTGGCAGCACTTTTCACAACAGTAACAGCTGTAGGGGCATGCGGGTGTGTGCACACGTGTGTGTATACATGTGGATGCTTACATATGTATTCATTCTCTACATCGTTTGTGGCAACCTTTGTTCTTCGTCATGTCAGCTTGGGTTAAGGCTTTAGTAATGACCATATTTAATTATTGCCACGGCAGATGGATTTTATCATAGAATCATAGAATGGCCTGGGTTGAAAGGGACCTCAGAGATCATCTAGTTTCAAACCCCCTGCTGTGTGCAGGTCGCCAACCAGCAGCCCAGGCTGCCCAGAGCCACATCCAGCCTGGCCTTCAATGCCTGCAGGGATGGGGCATCCACAGCCTCCTTGGGCAACCTGTGCCAGTGCCTCACCGCCCTCTGTGTCAAAAACTTCCTCCTAATATCCAACCTAAATCTCCCGTCTCACTTACCATTCCCCCTTGTCCTGTCATTACCAACAGCCATTCCCCCTCCTGTTTATATGCTCCCTTCAAGTACTGGAAGGCCACAGTGAGGTCTCCTCGGAGCCTTCTCCAAGCTGAATTTCTGCTGTTTCAGTAACTGTAATTGCCCAGAAAATGAATTGTCTTTCGTAAGATATACTGAAATTATCTTGGTCTGTAGCTTGTTGACATACTTGACGTTTTCATGCCTGTCACAATGTGAAGCTTTGCTCATGCTGTTTGCTTAGCAGGGCATCAAACAACTTTAGTTTAGTATGTGCAGGGACACGTGCTGTACGGATATAGGTACAGGTCGTTTGGATGTTGCAAAGCTTGACAGGTTGCATACTGTACTTGGTGTTGTATGATCTGAAAAGCAAGCCAACAAAATGCTTGTAACTTCACTCAGCGTGATGCTTGGTTTCTAGTGATACTTTTGTCTCCAGTGCTTGAATCGTTTTGTTACTCTGACTGGTGTCACCAGTTGTTTATTAGAGACTGTAGCTAATGAGACTTGAACCTATTGGGTGATCAGCTCCATGATCTACTTATAAGTGCTTAGAGTTCCTTCAACACCAAGAATATGGATTTGCTGCTTCGTGATGCAGTCAGTGCTACAGGGCTGCTTAGATCACAGTCTGCCGCGGTTTTTGCGCGCTTCTACCCGCTCGAGTGGAGGGGATTGTCCCCTCAGCTCTGCCTTGTGAGGCCCCATCTGAGCGCTGTCTCCACAACGCGCATGCGCGGGGCGGTGCCGCTTGCCGGTCTCCATGGCGGCGGCGCGGTGGCCGCCGGGAGCTCCGCTGTGGTGGAGCCTTGCGGTGCTGCGCGGGAGCGTGTAAGAGCTCCCCTCCGAGCCGTCGGCCGCCATGAGGAGGGCCGCGCCGCCGCCGTCCTTCAGCAGCTCGGAGGGCGAAGAGCCGCTCAGCCCTTCCAGCTGCTCCTTCCTCTCTTCCCGGCGCGGCTTCCGCGAGGAAGAGGAGGAGGAGGAGGAGGAGGAGAGGCCCGGTTCGCTCTCGAATACGGCCTCCCGTTGGGGAGTGAGCAGGTCGGTGGGGCGGGGGAAGGAGAGCTCGTCTCTGAGATGAGCAGTGAGGGAAGGCGGGACGCTGAGCTTCGCCTTGTTTCTTGAAAGAAGAGCTAAACATCCAAGAGAAATCTGGAGAACAGTGAGAAACCTCGGGTTGAAGCAGCCTGTCAGCCTGCTTGCAGTCTTTCCTCTTCTTTTACACCTTTTAAGGTGAAGGAGGGAAAATTTAGATTGGATGCCAGGATAGTTTTTTACAGAGAGAGCGGAACAGGCCTGGTCCAGTTCTGGATCTCACAGCTGGCAGCTCTGCCTGTGGCAGGGGGTTGGAGCTTGGTGATCCTTGGTGATCCTTCTAACCCAAGTCATTCTATGGCTCTCTGATCCTAATGGGTGCCCATCAGATGTTCCTCTAGTAGCTACCCCGTGTAACTGCCAAGATTGCAGGTATGATAATAACAGCCATTTCTTACACAGCCACTCCTCCACTGTATCTCAAAGAGTTGGTGTGTGGTGGTGGTCTCTTGAAACTACGTAAATGTCTGCCTCCGGCTAACTTGTAACATGGGGAAATTAGCATTTGTAGAAGAGAAGAGCTGAAATTGAGGCCTTGTGTAATGGTCATAATTTCAGTATGGATCAGTATTATGTCAGGTGGTGTGACTTCAGTGACTGTATGTGGATTCTGCTCATCAAACTTCAGTACTGGGCCAAACTCATCTAAACCAATTTAAGATACTTGTATTTAAATACAAATGTATGCTTGAGAGTGCACTACTTTATCGAGTCTGTTATTTTAATTACTCTGATGAAGTCTATGAATATGCTGGCGTCCTAGCAGGGGATGCTACGAAATTCAGGTTTTGTGTGGATCATAACACATCACAGCAGGTGGTCAGCTCTGTGCAAGGAGTTCTACGCCTGCAATGCTCTTCTCTGCAGGTTGTCTATGTGTGTTCTGTGTGCAAGACTTTGTATATGTTTTATTTTTAAACGTATGCATAGAAGATTAATTTCAGGAGCATTATGTAATATGCTTGTTTGGGTGCCTCTTTCATAGCTTAAGTTAAGCAAGCAGAGTTGCTCCCTGTAGTGAAGTGTGTAGGTAGGTGTTTCTGGAGTGCATGTGTTCATATAAAATATTAATGTGAAGTCTGATCTCATTGTTTTGTTGCTAAGAAAAAATTCTTGTAAGAGAGGGAAGAGCTTAAAGAAATCTTCTGGCATGTTTTCAATTAAAGCCTACTGTACTCTCTTGCTTAGGAGGGAGTACAGGTACAGAATATTGTAAAATATATTTCTGGCCTGGAGGTAGGATGGCTGCATTACTCATGAGTAAAGTTATGAGTGAGTTATGCAAAGTGTTCTGCTAAATGTCTTACCTTGTATAATATCACTAAGTGTGCACAAGCCATATTTTTTAAGGTGTATTTCCTTTGAGCCTTGCAGTGACAGAAATGCTTCCATGTTTCTGATGTTGGGTTTGATTAGTTCATAGAAGGTAACGTTTGAACCTCTTCCACAGTATGGAACAGAAAGAAAAGTCACAAGCTAGAACTTGGTAACTAGAATGCAAGGGGGATGGTGGGGAACACAAGAAGAATGCTGTTTACCATCCTGGAGGTTACTACACAAGTGGAAGAATAATGTAATTTTTGCTACAATAGAGAGAAATGTGGATTTTTTGAGACAACGAAACTGGATGGACTTTCAGTCAAAGTTCTGACAGATAACGTTCCTGTACGTTTCTCATCTTTTGCTCAGGAAGGATGATGACTCTGAAATAACAGAAGCAAATGAGCGCTCGCCTTTGAAAGATCATCTTTCACCATGGGAAGAATGGTTCATTGGAAAAGAGAAGGAACTACGTGCCCACTTACAAGCTAGAGCTGCAGAGGTGAATGTATCTTAGCTTGACATAAAATCTAGTAGCAAATAGCAAGCATCAAATGCCAGGATTTTATTTTCTGTTGGTTTTAGAAAAACTAGCCATGACAGGATGTGTGCTGGGTGTAAGCACTGCATGCTGCTTGGTTGTACATGAGGCACAGCGTTGTTTCCCACTCAGTGGGTAATTGCACAACTGCTTGGTGTCGTTTCCCAGGCTGTGCTGCTCTATCCCAGGATTTCTTTCCCTCCTTCCATCTTTTGTCCCGCTTGCAAACCAGCAGTTCTTGAATGCTGAGACTGGGGCAGAAGTAAGTGAGAGCGCCCTATCTTTTTGTGATTAATATATTTGTTGTTGCTGTTGATTGAATGATACTATTGTTGAAAGTCAAATTGGAAGAACTGGGTAGTGGTTAGAATAATCGCATCAAAGGTAGATATTTTCTCACTTAAGTTACTGATTTACTGTTTGACCTTGAACAGCAGCCTCACTTTTCTGTGATTCATTTAACCTGTAAAGTGTATGTAACATATATGGGTTGCCTCAGGCTCTTTCTGTAACTCCCAACACTGGAAGGTCTTAAAACAGTGTTTTAGAGGTCAGCGTAACACCAAAATAACACTGAACTTGAGCAACATTTTCTGATCTCTTCGTATTGTCTACACGTTTCACATCTTTCCTTTTAGATTCTAGTTTGGCAACTGTCCCCCTGTTTTGATTTCTAAGCATGAAAAAAAAAAGCCATTCTGCTGTCGTACAGCAAATAGGTTTGTTTGAGGACTTCTCATATGGTCTTGATGTATTACATTATCTTCATCATGATTTTTCTTTATTGATTCATTTCCTCAGAGAGTCATAAGTAATTGTGTATTTACTGTGTCTTACAAAGATGATATACTTCAGAATTTCTTCTGTTGCATTTAAAATACGGATCTTATCCTGAAACTCGGTGAAATCCTTAAAAATTTTGATTTCTTTAAACTTGGGCTTAAGCCCTAATGTTCCTATAGTTTTCATATTAAATGTCACAGATCAATACATCGCTTAGCTTTGATGCCTTCCTAAATACAGAGTAGTAAATCATCTAAATTTAAAGTATTGCAGAAAAGTAGTAATACCACTAGAGATCCCATTGAGTGATGTTTAAATGAGCCAAGGAACGATTTCTGTTGAAGTAATTCTGAGCCCAACAAAAATATCTGTTTCCAGTTCAAAGAATCACAGAATGGCCAGGGTTGGAAGGGACCTCAAGCATTACGAATCTCCAACCCTCCCCTGCCACACACAGGGCCACCAACCTCCCCATTTCACAGCAGCCCAGGCTGCCCAGGGCCCCATCCAACCTGGCCTTGAACACCTCCAGGGATGGACGGGGCATCACAGCCTCTCTGAGCAGCTGTTCCAGCACCTCACCACTCTCATAGCAAAGAACTTCCCCCCGACATCCAACCTCAATCTTTCCTCCCTCAACTTCAAACCATTTCCCCTTGTCCTGCAGTTATCAACCCTTTCCAAGAGCTGACTCCCCTCCTGTTTGTAGGCTCTCTTTAGGTACTGAAAGGCTGCAATGAGGTCACCCTGCAGCCTTCTTTTCTCCAGGCTGAACAAGCCCAGCTCCCTCAGCCTGCCTTCGTACTGTAGAAGTTCTACATTTCCATTGGTTATATTTCATAATGTTTCTGTGTTAACTGTCATTCATTTTTTGCAAAATCTTGAAGTGTTTCAAATGTAATGCTTAATAATAATTTTTTTTTCTTAACTTCAGCACTGTTTCCAGTATTGAGCATGCTGGTGTACGTGGTCATGACATGTTAAAGATGTGTGCTTTTTTTTTTTTTTTTTTGATTAGGAGATGAATATACAACTTGAGAAAATGAAGGAAAAGGAAGAATTTGAGAGAAGGAAAAGGACAGCTGAAAAGAAGCTCAGAGAATGGATGGAAAAAAAAAGAGAAGAGGTAAATTATATGTCATCTGCCAGTATGCTGGCACATGTTGTGCTTGAGTAAACCTGACTGCCGTTTATTTAGACTGTTTGGACAGCCATGTTTTTAGTTTGCTGAAAGAAAGTCTGTTTCAACTGAAAATTACAAAAACATGCTCACACAGTTAACCAATTTTCCAAGACTGATTTTTTTTTTGTAATCTTTTTTTCCCAAAGACATTTGTTTTCTGAATAGTCAGGTAACTGATAGCTGTCTCACATCTTGTGTAGCAGCCTGGGGTTCTGATCTTTGGTGTACCCTAAGCTTTCTGGCTTCCTAGGTTCAACGCCTTAGCATATTGATTATAGTCTCCAACTTAACTGCAGTGCCTTGTACACCAAACAGAGCCAGGAAAAGGATTCGGTTAAATACCATTGTGGACAGGAAAATAGTATGGTGGAGTTGAGAGAGATAATTGAGGTGTGAGGCCAGATTCAGGATATTATCGGTAGCCCACAGCTTGCAACAGGGAATTTCTTCATTTATAAAGTCATTTCACAATGGGATCAGGCAATCCTTTTCAGCTCTCTGGAGAGGATGCCAGAATCCCATGTCAGAAGCAGCCAGAATCCTGATCTCAAGAGGACACTGTACAGCTCTCTGTAATACAAACACTGTGTGTCCTGAGTGGTAAAAATAGAAAAGTTGGGGAGATTTGGTTTTGTTTAGCCCCTGGTAATTCATGGGCATATTTGCTCACTGCCTTATGGTCTGTAGCAATTCCAATTTCTTACTGTTCCGTACTGCTGGTTCTCAGTAAAATCAGAGGAAAGTTTCCCAACAGCAGTGCTTTGGCTAGGTATCAAGGCCTAATTTAGTCTAGGACCCCTAGAAAAACTTGTGTTTGAACCTAGCTCCCTAATTTCTCCTAGCTGCATTGCTGACTGGATGATTAGCATAACCTTGAACCACAGCAATCCTGAGTTAAGCATTTGCTGTGATGAGGAAGGGGACCTTCCTTACTGAAGTATTCAGCAAAAAGCATAGGATTGATCATTCAGCACGGTGACATTTTCCCCTTCTAAAACAGAAATTAACAGCTTCCTGCAACTATTCATTGGCTTGAACGAGTGTGATTACGTGTTAAAATGGTTCACTTCACAGCTCAGAACTGAATATTCCCTTTGGGTGTCTATCTCAGTCAGCTTCTGTACATCTCCACCTCTTTATGTCCTCCCTGTAACTTTGTGGGTTTACTGGTTAACTCCTTCCTTTCTGTTGGCAGTGGGATGAGCAGGTCTTTTTGATGGCAGCATCAGCTCAGAGAACAGCAGGGGGGAAGAAAGTATTTGTGTTTGGACTTGTACGTGTTATGTTTTGGAAGCTTATGGTCATTCTTAGGCCACGTCCCAAGCACTTACCAATAGTAATCTGTTTTTCATTTCAATCAGATGATTCATTGGCTTGTCTTTTCTGTAAACCACTCTCAAAGCAAGAAAAAACTGATTTTGAAGGCTTAGCTTTCTCTAGAGTTTTAACATTTCTGCAGCATATTCCTCCGCAGTGCAAGTCTTCACAAGATTGCCTGTGGATAACACTTACTGAATGATAAGCATGTCAATTCAGTGGCTAAATCTGTGTTTGTGACAGATTTCATGTGAAGTTTAAGGTTGGATTCATGAACACTTGCTATGATTTTTCTCAGAAAATATAATTGCATGTGCAAAAGGTCTCTATTTCCTCCTGTTAGTGTGAGAAGGTGCTCCTTGAGGACAAAACTCAGTTTTCTTCACTAAAATAACTACTAAGCACTCACCCTGTTTGTATCCTGTTGGTGATTCTCACCTCTTTGTAGAGAATGCAGAAAGTGCTTCGCAGGAGATGATCCTCTCAGGGATGTTACCTTTGTGATCTCTGCGAATCTGAATCCTTCCCCTTTGCTGAGTTCTGTACTGATGAAGGCAGTGAGGGATGCTTGAGTGTACGTGAAACTTTTCCCTTCATCTTGAGCACAAAGTCTTTCAGCAGCCCCAGGACGCTGCTGGAAAAATCTTTACAAGGCAGATCCATGGCAGAATATTTGTGTGGGCCTGGAAGAATTCTGCTCTTTTTCTATGTATCAAGCCAGTAGCACTTGGTTACGTGGCAGTGTCAGTTGTAGGGCTCTGACTGTTCCATAGAGTCCATTAGCTTCAAGTTAGGAAGAAGTACTTGAGGACAGTATTTATTTAATGTCATCACATGTGATGTGAGATTTGCATGCTTCCAGTCGCTTTGCATACCTAATTTTTGAAAATCAGGGTGTGGTCACCTTTTAATAAACTTGGGTGCAGGTAAGTTTTTGTGATTTCAAAGGTTGAGAGTGAACTGTCAGAGAACATTCTAAGCTGTGAAACGTGTATGGAAATACAAAGGAATTTTGCAGCTCACGAGGAAGGAGAAACAGTAAAAATCAGCTGGCAGGTGCTATTGTGGTTCTAATAATGCCTTCAAAATTTACAAATCACTGAGATACTAGACCTCTGCTGGGCAAAAGTAATTTTACTTTGTCTCTGAAGGTTGAGTCATTTGTGGGCAGACAGTAAATTGTCTGGTTTGTTCTGTTTCAGATGTAATAGAGCTCTGTGTTACAAGTCACAGCAATATTGGTCAAAATATTTTAACTCTGAAGGTATCTCCAGGCATGGATTTAGATTCCAGAAGAAAATTTGAAACCAACACTCAAATCTTTTTCTTCATTACTGTTAGGTTTACGGATAAAAAATGAGCTGTGTATGATTACAAGTGCTGGAAAAGCAAAGCTGTCCAACGTCACGTTTTCATTGTTAAAGTAGCCTTATTTTGAAATGGATTTGACTGGTGCACAGAACTGCACTTTGAGCAAAGCCATTAGAATGTATCTTAATGTTTCTGATACGTTCAAATGATTGCTTGATTGCTAATTGCTGTCGTTAGACTCCTGTTCAGTAACAAGCTCCTTGCAGACAACTTACAGCTGAACTGTGAAGTTTAAAAATAAAGGAATTGACATCCTCCAATCCCGCGGTCATCGTAGGTCTAAAGTTTGAATAGACGTTGAAAACTAACTGCTGGCTCATTCCTTTAGGTTAGAATCAGTGGCTGTGAAAGCTTGTTTTCTTCATGTCTGTTCATTCTCATGCATTTTTTTTTTTTTTTTGACTTCACTCTCAGAATCTTGTCTCTCATGGTTGAGGAGCAGTACACAGAACTCATTGGTTTATAAAACCTTTGTCCTTCCAGGCTCCCTTTCTTCTTTACTCTACATCCTCTTCCAGATATTTCTGAAAAGAGCTGAGGATGGTTTTGATTATGGACTTCTGAACCATCTCACACTAAATGTTCTTCATGTAAACAGGGTCCCAGCCTCTCCTGTTAGAATTCTAAGCATAATCTGGGTTTAAGGTTTCAAGACTGCTGTGCTTACAAGTCCATATGTGAAGAACCCCAGTTACACAGACCAAATCCTGTTGTTCTGCCCTATTTGTTGAATAGGAAGCTTGTAGTTAACAGTAGCAAAGTTTCTTCTTTACCTAACTGTTGATCCACAGATGTGAATCTCTTTGTTTCCTATCAATAGCTGTGGGATTGAATGCTTAAATTAGGTACATTTAAGTAGTGATATAGTGATTAATTGCTATCAAATCAGAGTACCAGCTGCTTTGAGAAATGCATCGTGGATGCACGGACTGTGAAACATCTGTAAAAATAATGTGACCATTTAATTCCTTAGAGTGTTATGTTATAAATTCCTTATAGAAACCTCTTGTGAATTCATGCAGGATAAAGTAGTTAGATTAAAGGTAAGGACTGACAACAGCAGTTTTTCATTAAACACTTAAATTGACACGGATGCAGTTCTTTTCACTGTCTACACTCTATTTAATGTGTTTTCCAATTCTGTGAAATCCACCTTTATTAGCTGCTGAACTACTTCATTTTTATAATGTTGGTAGAATATAAACTTAGAAATATCAAGATAAATCAGTTTGTGTATGTACTTAGGTTTATGTGTAGGAACTTCCATTATTTACTGTTGGCTAGCCCTGGTAGGCAGCCAAGCACCACACAGCTGTTCTCTCACTTTCCTCTTTATCTTCCAGTGCAACAGCAAGATGGGGAAGAGAGCTGGAAGAGTGATAGCAAGAAAGCTCAGGAGTTGAGATAAAAAGTGTTTAATAGGTGTAAAGCAAAAGCTTCATGTGCAAGCAAAGCAAAATCAGGAATTAATTTACTGCTTTCTAAGTGCAGGCAGACATCTAGCCATTGCCAGGAAAGCAGGGCTTCGTTGTGCCTAAAGGTTATTTAGAAAACAAACGCTGTAATTCTAAATTACTCCCTCTCCTGCTCCTTCCTCCTAGCTTTCACTGCTGAGCATGACATCATGTAATATGGAACATCACTTTGGTCAGTTTGGGTCAACTGTCCTGGCTGCATCTCCTCCCAGCTTTGTGAGAACCCCCGGCCTTCTTGCTGGTTGGACAGCATGAGAAACAGAAAGCCTTGAGACTGTTCAGTCTTATAGAAAATGCTGGTGTGTTACCAACATTGTGTTGGTCACAAATCCAAGACAGAACCATATAAGCCACTATGAAGAAAATTTAATGCCAGCCCAAACCTGTATGTGTATGTAATACACATTTGTAAGAGGAACTGGAATCTCAAAAGCAGAATGTTTGCATCCAAACAGCTGTAATTCTCTAACTCATCTTGTTAATATCCTTTAACTTGCATGTAATACATTGTTATATGAATGTGGTATCCAGCAAAGCTGAGAGAGTAAGGAGTAAAATTACACACCTTGCACTGAAATACAAAAGAATCTGCTCCCAACATTAATTTGACTAACATCTCAAATGTGTTGTGTCGTTGATAAGAGAACAAGACATTGCAAAAAAGATGTTACTCTTAGAATTTTTATGGCCAGATTTTTTATTCCTCTTTGATTTCTTTCAGCAAGACTTCCTTACTTGCTGAAAATCACCACCATCATGTGAAAAATTACAGGATGGGAGAATTTGCTGTTGCTGGTTTTTCATTGAAAAAAACATCTTTTTATCATTTATTTTGCTTTTGGCTGACGGTCCTTTTAAGGAAGAAGCAGTAGGAAATATGGAAATAGGAACCATCATGCAATGAAATAATGAATGGCAATATTCTTGGAGACAACTTCTCTTTCTTGATATGCTGTATGATTCCTTACAGAAGAGAGACTCGCATCACAACCCTTTTTCCAAAGACTGCTGAATGCTTGTTACCTCTCACCATTGTTAACACAGCATACGGACTGTTCAGCAGTTCCAGCATGACTTTCAAGCTAGAAAGTCGTGCTCGTGCTGCCTTTCTTCCAGTTAATGAATATTTCATTATATTTATGAGGGAGTGATATTTCTAAGCATCTAAACCCGGAATATGGAATACATTACAGAATAGTTTTTTTGTTTTTAATACAGTGTTTGATGTCTCTTCACATTGCATTTATCTTTGAGGTTGTGCAAGGCCAATCTATATAACTTTAGATTGTACCCGAATCTTATTTGTGTAAGGCTTACTTTTAGATTTCTGTAGTAGAATGAACCAATTTCTCACATTTAGTGTCAAAATTAATTGTGGGTAGTCTTGAGAGCTTGAATTCAGAGTGACAGATGATTAAAATGAGAGTAATTGTGTTTTGTGGCAGCTTTCGCGGAGTCTGCGTTCTTCTGAAGACCTTGAGAATATTCATGGACCACATACACTAAGACTTTCTGCTTGCCACTTGTTCAAATACCCACATGGTGATTCTTTACAGAAACACAGTTCAGGAGAACGATGCTCTGTCTTAGAACTCTCTGACTTCTAGACCGTAGTCAAGTCCACATTGACTGTGTGGACATTGTTTAAGCCTGCCTGTTGGTAGTGCTGTGTCACTGACTTCCTTTCTCTCCTCTTGTGTTTTTTTTGCTTGCCAGTTCTGGAGAGGTTACAGACGTATTTATGTGAGCCAGGGTTGGTGACTGAGCTGTGTAATAGGATTAAATTGAAAAGATAATAACAATTGGCTGAATGACCCCTGTTTCTGAAGTTGTTAAATGCAACTGACATTCCAGATTACTGTGGAGTAATGCAAGGAAATTTGCAGATATGTTCTGATGCTGACAGTGTGGTCTTTTCCTATATTCCATCAATCGTTCAGTATCAAATGATGCTGGAATACAGAAACAAAGATGTCAGAACTGTGCAATAGAGTCATCGGGCACGTCTGAAAGGAAAAACACGTCATATTGGTGGAGTAGAAAACAGGAGAACAGTTGCTGTGAGAAGGATCTAAAAAAATTGAAACAGCATAAATTTCTGGAAATCTGTCTATTTAGAAAATCATGACATGGGTTGGAAGGGACCTTTAAGGATTGCCCCCCCTGCCATGAGACTGTATACAGAAAATGCAGAATATAAAGCAGCTCTGCAGTTGATCCTTTTTTGCAGCCTCTCGGTCAATTATTAATATGAAAATACAGGAGTGTATGTTTTATTAATTTTCTTCCAGCTGGAATGTTGTCTCTGTTTCAGTGTAATTGGGCTCATTTTCTGCCTTAGAAATTCTTTTTGGCAGAAGGCAGTAAGTAAGGCTAAGTGAAGTGTGATGCCTCATGACATTTAAAATTTCTTTGACAAGTCTCAACATATACATAGGTCTGATTTTTTATTTTTTTTTTTTCTTGAAAGCTTAGTAGTTCTGCTGCTGGTTTGATAGTGACTCAGTAAGGCACACACTGCCCACTGAGTCACCAGGACTGCTTTGTGCCACGGCTGGGTTTGTTCTGCTGCGGGGTTTCCAAGTACTGACCCAGCCCAGTCTTTATTAGGTTCCAAGACCTGATAGGATCGCAGCCCATAGCAGTGAACCTTCAGGCCAGATTTGTATCCTTTCTGCTTAATAATGTGATTGGGTGGAGTGGCAGGAGAACAGGCTCTTCCTGCAATAAGTAATGGGATGTTTTACAATCAATACCTTAACTTATGTAACATGTGTAATCATATTCTAGAGTACATGTCAACTGGCTGGTGGTTTAGTGAATAATAGGTATGTCTGTTTGGAGCACAAGATCAAAGAGAATTTTTTCTTATATCAACACCACACATAAGCAAATTATATAATTTCCCCTCCCCTGACGTATGTGGAAGCAGTGTGAAGGACGGATTGAAGGACATCGTGTGCATTAACATGCACATTCCTTGCCTTTTCGATAGACTTGGATAAGAACAAGAAGTGAGAATGGGGGGAAGCTAGGAAGGCTGGAGTTGACAGGAGCTCGACGCAAACCACATTATTATAGCAGCTGGGAATGTGATGTAAACCACCTTTCTGAAGGAGTTGTTTTGTGCTAGAGAGAAAAAGGAAGCGCTTCTGATTTATTTGCAGAATAATTTCTGGGCAGCTGTGGAGTCTGCAATTCTGTAGGGGCCCCTCCCAGTCCTTGCAATTCCTTATTGGAAGTAAAACTTCAGCAATAGCTTTGGCTTTCATGGTCGTATGCATGGCATGTTGTTGTTCACATAGGGACTTACTTAACTTTGGGGCAGCACAAATAGTAGCTAATACAGTCCCCCACAAAATCCTTCTTTCTAAATTGAAAATATATGGATTTTGTGGGCGGGCTGTTCAGTGAATGAGGAACTGGTTGGAAGATTATACCCAGAGAGCAGTGGTCCGTGACTCAACGTCTGGATGGGTATCATTGACAAATGGTGTCCCTTAGGGGTCAGAACTGGGACTGATGCTCTTTAACATATTTCTCAATGAATGTCCACTGGTATCATGTGCACCCTCAGCAAATTTGTGGATGACACCGAGCTGTGTGTTGTGGTCTACGCTCTTGAGGAATGAGATGCCATCCATTCCTCATCCAGAGAGACCTAGACAGGCAGAGCAGTGGGCCCAGGTGTAGCTCATGACGTACAGCAAAGCCTAGTATTGGGTCCTGCATCTGGGTCATGGCAACCCCACTATCAGTACAAGCTGAGGCATGGAAGGATAGAGCACAGCCCTACCAAAAAAGACCTGGGGGTACTGGTGGATGGGAAGCTGGTCTCAAGGCAGCAGTATGGCCTCAAAGCTCAGAAAGCCAACTGTATCCTACGCTGCATCAAAAGCAGGACGAGGGAGCCAGTCCTGCCCATCACTCTGCCTGTTGTCATTGCAGTTCTGTGACAGAGGGCACAGGCCCAAAGAGAAACAGCAACCAGCAAAGTGTTAACCATTTATGGCAGGGCAGGGCACTGCTGGGCTGGAGCCTCAGGAGAGAAAGGGTGGGGGGGCAAGGAAGGGTAAGGAAATAGTAGGGCTGGTGCTGTTCAGCCTGGAGAAGAGAAGGCTCTGGACAGTCATGGGAGAGGATTTTCAATATCTAAAGTGGGGCTGTGAGAAAGGAGGAGCTGGACTCTTTAGCAAGGTCTGTTGTGATAGGACAAGGGAAAATAGTTTCAAACTAAATGAGGGGAGAAGTGGATTTGATATAAGAAAAAGGTTTTTACAGTAAGGGTATGGAGGCACTGGAACAGGTTGCTTGGAGAGGTGAAGGATGCCCCATCATTGTGGGCATTCAGGGTCAGTCTGGAGGGGGCTCTGAGCACCTGATGGAGCTATAGGTCCCCCTGTTTATTGCAGGGGAGTTGGACTGGATGACTTTAAAGGCCTCTTCCAATTCAGAACGATTGTATGATTCTGGCTAAGCTCATTTAAAGTATTGTAATTAAGAATTCATTATCTAAGAAGCTTCCCTACCCTCCTAAAAGCTTTTTTATTCAGCAGTTCTTTTCTATGAATGCAAAATTGTTGATCTCAAATCTTCTGTTTCTCCTCCATGTCGCATGTATAGTTTGTCTAGTATAGATTTCTGTGTGTGTGTGCAGATTCTCCAGAGCTAAGTGAGCTAAGATGTGGTAGTACTGAACCAGTAGAATCCCAGGCATTTCAGAAAGGCTACAGGGTAGAGCGGTGAGGGGTACTCATGTCTTCATGTCTAACATGGTACATGTTAGTCTTCATGTGACTATGCTTCCTTCAGTATGTACTCGTTAGCTTAGAGAATGGCTCTCAACATGCTGTGTGCCGTTATATTCACATACTTGGGAAAGACACAGAAGTGATAAACCTCTGTGTATCTTATCTGACAGAGCTCACGTGCGTGGCAGTGACTCAGAAGGGTGCAGACTGACTTCCATTTAGAACCGTGGTTTGCTCTCATTTAATTGAAAAGCAGACTTCTTAATCTACAACATGCTCATCAAGAATTGCAGCATAGATTTCTTTTCCAGAAATACTGAAAAGCATTGGAAGTCTTTTAAAAAAGATGTCTAAATAAATAATCATCAGAGTAAGCATAATAGTGCAGAGAGCCTGAAAGGAAATTTTTATCATGTCTTGTTCTAGCGATGAGTGGGTTTTGTTTTCAGGGTTGGGATAATTTTATTTGTAATTACGTAATAGAAGCATTCCTTGAAATAACTGCCCATCGAAATCTATTGCATTATTAACATTCTTCCTCTTTGATCTATTTCGTCTAGGAAAAGAGGGAAAGAGAACGAAAACTGAGCAAAGAAATGGCAGAGAAAGCCACAAAGGAACTAGAAAAAATGCAGTTACAAGAAAAGGCCGAAGTGAAGTATAATGAATGGTTAAAGAAGAAGAGAGCTGAAGAGTCAGAAAAGAGGAAGAAAGAGAAGGTATTTGTCAGTTAATTATGTATTTGAATGGCTTTACCTAACATATTAAGTGTAGTGCTTGATTAAATTAATTGGAATTTATCAGATGGAGCGATGTATGTTAAGAATAGTTTCAAAAGTTATACTGTTGATGCGTTGAAGTGTGGCCAGCAAAGGAAGATGCACATTAAATGCATATTTGTTACTAGTTCTATTGCAAAGCCAAGCAAAGCCTCTGCAATGGTGATGTGAGAAGAAAAACAGAAATAGGAACCACAAACTGTATCTCTATTTCTCAACCCCAGCAGAAAATAGGCATCCTTCTAGTCATTTTTCTCTCACCACCACTACTATCTTGATTGTTAAACGTGTTTCAAATTAGAAGTATTTTTCTCTCTATTTCTCTATACCAGTCTGATGCTGGGAGTCCTAATTTTAATGTTAACTCAGATTGAATAATTAACCTGCCATTTATTTTTATAGTGTGTTCTAGAAGACCCCTTACATGTTGCAAGCTTCCTAAAACACAGACATTGGGGTCCTAGGGCAAATTACATATAGATGTTACATACTGGTAATGCTTGTGCCTGAAAATGAGTGGGCAACTACAGCTATTATGCTTAAAGTTGATTGATTGTAATTAAATTTAAATAATGGTTCAGTTTTATTTTTCTATTGAATTTGTATTACACGACTGTTAAGTGTTAGGGGGATTGTGGTTAGAAGAATTTGTCCATGTTCCTGCTGTAATTGTAGCTGTCGTTCTTAATGTGCAAAAAAGATTCGTATTTCTTAAGTGTATATACTAATTCCTTTGGATTATCTTTAAAAATAGCCTAAGTTGTTTCAGACCAATTTAGAGGCCTCAAGGACTTAATTTTGTAGACTTTCTTAATTTCTCATATAACTGGAAGACACTTAACTGTTCTGTACTGGTTGTGTTCATGTCCTGTTTAAACCAATTCTGTGTCTCTGTTGGGTGTCTAAAAAGCACAACACAAGGAACTTGAAACCAAAGTAAACGGGAGTCTTAAGAGAGATTTAAACCAATATTCATTCCCTTTACTCCTCTCTTTGTTAATGTAAATTCGTGTAAGTCATGCTCACAGTATCAATTCAACTTGATGTAAATCCAATTGCAGTGCCTGTAAAAACATACCAACATGCTTTGTAGGCATCTTACGTTATTCTGTTTTCAGGAAAAAGAAAAAGAAAGGCAGGCTGAGCTGCAAAAGAAGAAAGAGAGAGCAGAGAAGATCTTTAATGAATGGCTACGTAATGCTAGAAATAAACCACGCCCTGTATTAAATGGTTATGGCTTTCCACATGGGAAGTCTGCAGGTTTGTACTCTTACCGTGCATATGCAATGACTTTAGGAGGAAAAGAATGCTACTTGAGAATGATGTGGTATACCAAATTATAATTGATTTTGATCTTGTTAAGTTCCTTATCAGGCTAATTACTGGTTCCTGTGAAGCATATCAGCTGTGATGACGTTGTTGTAAAATTAGTATTTGTGTGTCAGGAAACGTGTGCCCTCTTGTTGCACCAGAATCCGTGTTAGAAAAGGGGCAGTTTTTGAGATGCAGAGATTAATAAAGGTCTGGCAGTTCTGCTTGAAAAGGGTTACGTGGGATGTAACTTCAATGCTGAGTGACAGTTTCCATTTAGCTTTGCAATTGCCTCACACCTCCTCACATCTGCTGTCATATTCTTTTTTCACTCTGAGGGGAAGTGTGAAGGAGAATGCTGATGATGGTGTGGAGATTTGAGAGTCTTAATTATTATGTTTTGTTTGTAATTCTACGTGATACAAAAGCTGAAGAGCAGTAAGAAGTAGTATTTTGTATTACATTTCAGTTGATTAGATGTCCTTTAAAAAAAAAAATAGACTATACTTTCTTCTTTATTTTTTCATAGAATCAAATCATTATTATTATTTGTGTTTGTGACAGAAAGTATTATAGGACCTAGATCCTAGATTTTGAATGCTTAAGAAAATCCATGTAGCAGATGAGCAACCAGTTGCTCTTTTGCTTACATCTGCTTGTAGATGGTGATACGCTTCGCTTTCATGTTTTGCATTTGTAGCTCATTACTTCCTGACAGCTGCAAACACTTAAGTATTTCATTTTTTTTAAGAAGTATTTCTATGCTCAGTAGTGTTCCTGCAACAGAATGTGTCATAGACTTTGTTTTACTCAACCTCGTGATGTGTGCACTGGAATTTCACTACAGACAAGTGACTGACAGAACAACGTGTTCCTTCTGCAGTGTTTTAGGCTTTCTTACACTGGTCTAAGTCCCCGAGGCTAATAATTGCAAACAATTAATTAAATTGTGGGAAACTTACATGTTTTTCTCCTCGGTAAAATGAAGAGTTGTAGTTAAGCAAAGATGGAAAAAATATGTATATTTTATATATGTGGTGACAGGAAGTAATATTTATAAATGCTTTGAAGTGATGTGATGTGGCCAGTTCACACACACATGCATCTTTTAAGCATACAAAAGGCTGAGCATTTTGAATGTTGCATAGAATTCAACCTGCTTTTTTTTTTTTTAATACGGATGAGGAATACACCAGTCATTGGTGATAGGGAGTGGAAGATTTATCACTTTGAATCATTTGAATTGTCACATGCATTTACTGTATTCCTCTGAAGACATTGTTCTGTCTTACCCTAGGTGATTATTAGAACTGCACGCATTATAAAGCCCATTGAGTACATACTAATTTTAAGTTACTTAAAACTTACTTAAGTTACTTAATAACTTTAAGTTATTTATTTTCTAAACATTTTAGGGCGTCCTGTTGGGAGTTCATATCCAGCTCCAGCATATTGCAACCCCATTCCTTGGAAACCAGTACACATTCCTCCTCCAAAGGAAGAAGGTGCTCTTACCATGAAGAACAGTAAGAGATCTGTATCTTGTCGGTCACATAAGTTTTCACCTACAGTAATATATAAACCCAAGAACAACCTTTGCGTACAATCCTCTCATAGAAAGTAGTTACAGCACAGAAAGCAAAGTCTTTCTTATGAGCTTGAGAGCTGGAACATAAGTATAAAGTTATACGTACAAACTTGTCTCCTTTTTTTGTTGTTGTTGTGACCAGGTTTTGTGTTTGAAGGTGACTGACTGATCACATTGTTAAGGGCTTTTGTGTATTGATTTCAATGTGTTTTTCTTTTTTTAAAGTGGCATTTAGCAATTTTAATGGAACTGTACTTCAATATCAATAAAGCATACGGGATTGTTGCTGTCCTCATTTTTTTTGTCATTGAAAGGCTTATTTTGTGCAGTTGATTATGACTTTGGGCAACAGTATAACTGCGTTATTTTAGCAATTCTAATTATAACAAACTTTGAAACAGTTACTGGCTTTATTACAAGAAACTTGAGGCCTCTGTGCAGCTACAGAACAGTGATGACATTGGGACCACAGAAATATATTCCAAAAGCTTACATTGCTGGAGCACTGCAATGGATTGACCTTGAGGACGGAAAGGATGGGCCAACAAGGAGGGAGCTGCAGCAACAACTCATGAAGCTTTACCTAAGGACTGATGATTAGCCAGATGAGACCTTATGAGTTAGGATTAAAGGGAGACCAAGGTGTGTGGATCCTGCTGTGGACATCTGTTACAGACTTCAGCCACCATGAAATCTGCTGGAAGGGCAATACAGCAGAGAAAAAGTGACTAAGGGAGCTTCTGGAGGGTATGGATGACTTCCTCACCCAGTTGACAAAGAGAAGCTCGTTTACAGGAGTCTAGGTTGAAAGAAATCTCCCAAGATCATCTGACCGAGCCCCCTCTTGAAAGAGAGCCTTGAAATGCATTATCAGATGTCCTGTCAATCTCAATCTTGTAAATTTTCAGTGGGTAAGACTCCACCACTTCTCTGGGCAACTTTTTCCTGATGTTTAGTTGTTCTCTTGGTGATTTCTTTTTCTTACATGCAGATGCAAGTTACTCTGGAGCAACCTGTGTCCATTCTCTCTCCTTGTTACCATGTGGTGAAGAGATTATCTTCTCTGTGGCTATCTTTTAGATGTTGGAATATAGATTAAATTTCCACTGAGCCTTCTCTTTGCGAGGCTGAGTGAGCACTGTTTCTTCAAATATTCTTCATATGCCACCTTCCAAGTCTCTAACTATGATACATGAAACAATTGGGAAGTAAAAAGTGCAGGAGTTATATAGACTTGATAATCAAACAAAAAGAGTGAAATCTGTTGAAGTCACAGTCTTTGTTGTTTTGATCTTCATATTTGGAGGAGAAAAAAAGAAAAAGCCCTAACCTGCTGTACCTAATAACATTCTTATCCTTTTATAAAATCTAACTGCTTTTTTTATTTAGTCTTGCCTAGTTTTGCTTTGCCTTTTAAGCACTCCATAATTGGACAGTTGGCACTGCAAATGGTGACTGCAATCCAGTCTGAGCACTGTGGGATTTTCTTAAATTTCACTGTCTTCCTGGAAAAGGATTATTGTTCGTGATTTGCTGTTTCAACTGAATGCATAGAAGTTCATTGGGACCCGATGGGTCAAATTAGACAAATTAGAAAGCTGGGAAATCATCAACAGCATGAAGGGTCCAATTCTTCAGCTGAGAAGGGACAGCCTTGGTTATACATACAAACTTATGAGGAGTGCCTGAAGTCCCTTAGTTTGTTCAGCTCAGAGAAGAGGAGGTTGAAGGGAGACATCATAGCCTACAGCTTCTTCGACAGAGGCCGGATCTGACCTCCCCTCTCTGATGACCTACAATAGAACCCAAGGGAATGGCGTGGATTAGGTTGGACATCAGGAAAAGGTTCTTCACTGAGAGAGTGATAAGGGTGCTGGAACAGCCTCTTTGGAGAAGTGGTTGTAGCATTGAGCTTGGCAGAATTCATGAAGCAGCTGGACAGCACACTTAGACATACAGTCTGATTTTTGGGTGGTCTTGTGTGGAGGCAGGAGTTGGACTCAATGATCCTTACGGATCCCTTCTCTCTTGGGATATTCTGTTATTCTATGAACATACTTAAGAGCACATGGATCATGACGTACCAATTTTGATAACTGAATAGACAATGAGAACCTTTGTGTTTCTTAGAAATGTTTCTCACTGGATCTCTGAGCTTGGTGTCTGCCTAAAGTTATCTGTGTAACTGAGAATAATGACCTTCTGTTAGCGCATAGTGTAAGGACGTGATGCTCTTCTGAGAAATGGCAAGCTTCAAGCAGTCAGAGTTGTAGATTAGAGTGCAATTATCCTTGCGTAGAGAAAGCTTCTATTGTGAAGGAGATGGAGGTTCTGCAGCCAGCAGCCCTGTATGTTTAGTTCTCAGTGACATAGTACAAAAATGGGAATCAGGTAAGCCTGATTCACCACTGGTAAAAACTCAGACTTTGTTCAATAGACCGGTATCTAAGAGCTTCAACTGCTTCTGTGTAGGCTTGTATTTTAACACCATGCCATGTGTTAATGAATATATAGATTGGTTCAGCATGTGGGTGCATGGGATGATCTAATGCGTTTCACTTCGACTGTCTCTTAAGATATTTAGTCCGTGGTGGGTCTGTTCATTTTTTCCTGTCACAATGTCTGAATAAAATATTCATGAATATATAATATACAGTATAGGTGATCGTTATATTAGTTATTGAATGTCTGCTAAGAGTTCATGAGTTTCTGCAGTCTAGTATTTGTCATAGAGCAAACAGTTAAAAATACATGTATAAATAGAAATTAGTCCTTTTATGCTGTATTTATTTACCAAGTTATTTTCCTATTTTTTCTAGTCTCTAAGCGAAACAAAGACTCCTCATGCAGCTATCAAGAAAGGCAGCAAGATCTCAGAAGGTCACTTCCATTACCTACTACAGTGTTCCCTTAATCTTGTTTGTAGGTGACTGTCATATTCTTAAGTACGTAAAACTGCAGGTTGCTTTTTCTAAGGCAAAAAATTAAGCTTAATTGTTCATGCACTCCTGTGTATCTATTTAACTTGACTATAAAAAGAGAAATTTGGACACCACAAAATATGTGGAGTGTCATAATTCTGTAAATCAGGAGTATAGGGGCTTTGCAGAAATCTCTGTAATATCATCAGGATGTTGAACTCTGTCTAGCTTTCTCTATAAGCATCTATGCTGAGTGGGTTATGAAACCAGTGGATGAGTGTATTAGTTGTCAGTCTTTTGAGCTGACCTTCCCATGTGGAGATTTGTGAATAAGAAGTTGGGCAATATTGTAAGCTATCTGATGTTTATCAGTGCTCAGATGAAGAGATAGCATTTTACCATGACGTAAATAATGAATTTTAGATTAATTGATGAAGATTTCTTAGGACACTGATTTAGAGAAGCTCTGCATTATCATGCTAATATCTTCTGTGGCAATCTTTCTGAAATAGCAGATGGTCACCAGTACCAGTGAAATAATGTTGTAACAACTAACGATAGCATCTATTTGATGTCAAGTGGCCTGTCATGAATATAGGCGTTGGCAGTATTTGTAACAGGTTTTGTTAACAGATTTTGACAGCATCTCTGACTATTCTGCTGTAACACATAGTTGACAAGCATTCTCTTGGCTTGTATAGTAACGGATAGCTACTTAAAAGAACTTTCTAGACTGAATTAAAGAGAGTGGACCTTCAGGATTTCATGTCCTCACCCAAGTAGAAGAGTCTTAAACACATATTTGGTTCAGGAATATGGATATATTAGGAATAACTGAAGCCTGGTAGTTTTCTTTCAGATGACTCGGTCAAAATAATTCAGCTGAATACTTATTGGAATTCTAGTTTAGAGATTTTAGAAAATACTAATAAATATCTAAAGCTGTTGTTCTTTTTCTTTCTCATCCTTAGGTGGTATTATTTTTTCTCCGCCCATTTTTCTCTGGAAAGGTTTGTCCTGCCTTCAAATAAAACATGCTGTTTCATTCAGGAGAGAGATCTGTAAGTGGACTTGTAGCACCCAAAATACCAACTTTAAAATGAGACCCTTGCTGTACCTCATCCATAGCATCATAAATACTATTCTGTCCTAATTAGATTACAAATAAGGCTAAGGCAAGATAGCTCATGAATGTACATATTGGCTTTGATTCAGTCAACATGACGTTTTTGCTGAGCAAGGAAGAGAAGTATTGTTTGGATTTTTTCCAGCAGTTTATCAACCACAAAGCCAAATGTCCTGGCCTTGTACCCTGATTTAAGACTGTATCCTACAGAAGGCTGTAAGTTCGTGCTGTGGTGGCAGGTAATTAGTTTATCCCTTTCTCAGGCATTAGAAAGATAAGATCTTAACACTTTGAAGCTTTAAGCAGCATTCTGTATTCTCTTAAATTCTCTCCCAGATTTCTCAACTTATGAAATTTCACAGTAAAAGTTGCAGGATCTGTAATTGCTCATTAGAAACAGCCCCAGATCTTTTATGTTGGTGTGCATGCCACTGAAATAACAGGAGTCTCGAGCTTGCCTTATTTTCATTCACTCGTTTTTTGTGGATCTTTTGTTTCTAAGACTTCATTGACCACTTCCAAATCTATGTGTCCTAGGATGCACAATCGTTTCTCACCTCAGCCTCTTAGTAACAAATAGAATAGCACATTCAGCCTTACTGTGGAGGATTGTATCTCCTACAAGACTTGTCTGTTTTTTGAAAATTGCTGTGTAGGTGCTCCATAAAACAGCGTGACTTCCTAGTAATTGACAGTGGATCCCCAGAGATGTTTCAGGGCTGAAAGTCTACAGGCAGTAAAGTGGATCAAAGGAAGACAGAGGAAAAAAATATGGTTAGTAAGAGATCACTATTATTGTAGAAAGCATTGTCTTCTTAGAAAATAGTCCCATTAATGTGACATAATAAAAGTTCCAACATGCTGTTGGAATTCTTGTTACTAATTCTGGTGGGTAGCTGGAGTTTGATATTAACCAGATAATGCTTCAAATTCTAATAATGACTTTGCAAGTGTCATGTTTAATTCTAAGATTGATTTCTTAATTTGCTGTTTTGGAATCCAGTTGCAAGAGCAGTCAGTGCTCCTGTTATCTTTTTCACAGGAAGATTTCTGTGAGGAAATATGGAAGTTTCTGTGCTTTGTTGTTGTGGTCAAAAGGTGAGTGTTCCAGACTCTTGTCCCTTGGGCAACACAATGAACTTTGTTTAAACTCAGTAATGAAAAGGAAATCTGAGCACCCTGATCTAGTAAAGCTTATAAACACTTGATTAACTTGAAAGGTGCTTAAGAGATCATTGATAAAGCAGGGCTGAAGCTGTCGTGCATTCTGTTTCATATGTAAGGTTATGCCCTTGATTTACAATGAGTTATAGCAATTTCTAAAGCTAGTTATGGGCATAAAATATTGCAAAATTACAAGAGCTTTTTTTTTTTGTAGTATCCAAAAACTTAATTGTTTGCTTGGTCTAACTTTTGGACGTTGTGTTGAGGGGGAGGTGGTTTAGTGAGAACTGTTGGTGATGGGTGGATGGTTGGACTGGATGATCTTGTAGGTCTTTCCCAAGCTTGGTGTTTCTGTGATTCTGTGAACTTAGTGAATCAAGCAGAGGCTGCAAATATTTAATTCAGAGTAAAATCCTCACTTATGGAAAATTGGCCAGCTGGTGATTAAAAAAATTGAGATACTTGTAGCTCTTCATGGCAAAATCTACTGACTTTTGCAGTGATTAAATTCAGTGATGGGTTTGATGGTTAATAATATTGTTACACAGATTTATTGTGCTGAAGTCAGAGCTGCATTGATTTTAATGTTACTAGCACCAAATGTGATAAGTCATTAACCCAGCCAGAAAAATGTTTTAGTGGGTGCTTTTGTGTATGGATTCAGTGGAAAATGGGTCTTTGACTTCCACGGGTAATTCGTTTAAATAGCGTAGGGTTATGAGTTTTGGCATTAAGGCAGCAAGTTTATCATAAGTAATGCAGCAGTGTGAAAAGTTAAAATAGGCTCAATTTTCTTCTCTGTAGCTGGAGCTCCACTCCTCTTTATATGTTTTTACCGTTGCTGGGGCAGGATGTTCTCTATACATTGTTGTACCTCAGCAGTGGCACTCAACCCTCAGTACTCCCTTAAAAGAAAACAGGAAGGAGAATTTGGTGTGGCAACCTTTCTGTAGGTCTATGGATCTGTCATTTTCAGAATTTGAGAAGGCACTTGATGTTGGACTGCATTGCAAGACTTGAGCTTAACCTGTGGGCTATGAATGCAGGTTGGCAGGAGGACATTTCACTGAGCAGAGTTGACTTTCTTTTCACATCTATATAAGCCTATAACTTTGTTTTATAGTGCTGCACACATATGAATGTGCAGGCATGAAATCCATAAGCTGTTTTAGTTAAGAAGATGGTCGGGATGAAAACAAACCTCTTCAGTTTTCCCTTTACTTGACACACGTGCATCCACTGTTATATGAATTACTGAAAGCTATGTAGCGAAGTACCTTAAATAAAAGCAGATGGCTGTTATGCTATTGTTCAAAGAGACCTCCAAAGATGCCAATATGAGAAATCCACACTTCAGCCTTCACTGGGAAAATTCTGGTTGAATTATGTAGGACAGATCCTAGGAAATTCATGTGCTATTGCCTTTTATTTCCACTGTTCAGAAATGATTTTGCTCTCAGTAAGGACGTCAGCTCACAGCATATTGATTTAGGCCATGATAAATGTAGAAGGATGGGTGAGGTTTACAAAAGCCTTCTGTACTAGGTGTAACTTCCAGGAAACAAAAATCCAAGTGAGGCTTCAGTTGTGAAAGGGCAGAGTATGGTAACCATGCTGCACTACTTGTTTCATATGGCATAAATGTGTACTTGTTGTCTGATTGGAGCAAACAAATTGTCATGCTTGTCCGTCTTTCTTTCTGTGCCACCCTACCCATGGTTTGTCAGGGTTATATCAAAATGATCCCAAGTCTGGATGGCAACAGCTTTAATGACCATCGTCACTAGAATCTAGGCAGTCTGATGTGCATTAAATTAAGGGCCAAAGCTGCTGCACTGATTTGCTAGCATTTAGCTAGCACTTGCCCATGATGTTTCAGGCTATCCTAGCTGGCATTAACAATGTGAAAATTCCTATTTTTCTTGTGTGAATCTCAACCTCACCTTGCTTTTCAGAATTTAGCACTATTTCTTGTTCCCATTAGGCTGGAAAATGACTGAGTTGTAATGGTTTAATGGTACTGAAATAATCTGTATAGGGAAAGTGAGTAATACAGTCCCAACAAATTCAGCAAGGGAAGTAACTCTGATGCTAGTTTAATCTGCTAGTGAAACAGAAGATATGGGAATCGTAGTCCATTCTTAAACACTGACTGTGGATCTATTTTTGCTTCACTGTTGTGGTTAAGATGATTGACTTTGATAATTGCTAAGATTATATGTAATCTCCTGAATGCAGTGGGTGTGCTGGTCAAGTTTCATGGGATTCCAACACAAACCTTTTGGGGGAAAAAAAAGCAAACACCTTCCTATTTTTTCTTGTTATTTCAGGTGGTCTGGGTGTGCTGCTCGTGCATAAAACTGTTAGGGTTTTTCTGAGACTGCTTCAAAGGTATAAGATTTCAGGATTAAAATGTTTAAATAGAATCATGCTTCAACATTAGGGCTTTTAATACTATTGAAGAGCAGAATCACACCTCCAAATTTAAACATAAACCTGTGATATTTTTGAAGTATATCCTGTGTAACTGTTCCAATGTTTGATACACTCGGATAAAATATTTATCTATTTTATGGCTAGTTATACATTTGAATGGTGTTCTGTCATTTGTTTATTGTCCTTACTAATAAATTCACAGCATTTGACCTCCTTCAGCTATTGCTACTGAAAATAGCTATTGCTATTTTTTTTAAATGAAAATAACTTACAAATAGTAATAAAGATTCTAAAGCTGCTGGCTTGGAAGATAGGATGTGTGAATTTCAGTCTCTGATCCATGAACTTTTACTTGTCTATGCTTACTGAAATATTTCCAGCAGAAAGGATTGAACATCTCCAGGTAATATATTCTCATTTGGTCACTGGGCCACTCACCTGAATGTACAAGGGAGAAATTAATGAAAATCACCGATACTCTTAGTAATTGTTGCCTATTAGAAATAATGTGGTTTGGTTTTGTCAGGAGGTTAGGGGAAAATCTGTCTTTTAATCATCCTATGTTCTATTTATAGCAAACAATACAAACTGTTTTATGTCAAAATTTTGGTGATGAGTGAGCAGTATTTTGCACTTTTTATCCTGGTCTTAGTGTGAATACAATTTGAATGATGATTTGAATGATGCCTTGGGGAGATGTTTGGGTTAGGAAAATACAGCTCCTTTATTGATGCCAGAAAGCTAATTATTCTTATCACCCTGTTCCTTAGCTGCAGTTGAGATTTGGCTGCGCACAGGTGCTTGGCAGAGTAGGACTGCATGGATGTCCAGTCCTGTTTGTGCACTGCAAATGTTATTTCCCTGTGTGATGAATGCACAGGCTAGCTGGGAAGAGCTATTAGCATTTTTGCTTTAATTGTGATATGAGTATTGCAATAGTGTGCTACTTCTTCCTTTTAATTGTGCACACATTCAGTGTTAAATTATGTCTAGCTTCTCTATTATAAGAGCTTGTAATCTAAACTTTCTAGACAAAATCACTGGCAAACAAAAGACGTGCTTCACAAGTTAATGATAAAATCTACAAAATGTATCCAGGGCTTGGTTTGTTTTCCTCTTCCTTATAACGCTGTGAAATACTTCTGTTCTTTTTTATCTTGGGACTTTTTAAAGGGTAGAAACACATATGAAACTATTTTTATTTGCATAAGGATTTCAAGTTCAATTCTTTGGAGTCTTATATATCATGTGTATTCTTATATATATGAAAAACATCTGGCTAAGTTTTAGTGTCACTTCGACTTCTTAAAGAGGAAGTAAAATGAATAATCATAT